CACATGGTGGAAGAAGATTTATAGACCAAAAAAAAAAAAAAAAAAAAGGGAAATGACGTACAGAAATCGGAAGTGAGGTACGGAACGGCTGGATTGGTTACAGGTTGGTGTCTGCCTTATTTGAACACAGTTTGAACACTCAGCAGTGTATGAATGGTTGAAGTATGGCCACTGGGATTGGCCAAGACTCAGCCATGGTTGCAGGCACATACTTCTAAGTTAGGTTTTCAATCTTGTCCACCTATTAAGCTAGGTTGAGATTCCTCCACAAGGACTCAAATATAGGAATTCGGAGAACTTCTCGGGGAATACTTAGTTCGCTTTAACAGAGCAATAGTACAAAGGAGAGGAAGCAAGCAATGTGCCTGAAGATAAAGAGAGTAAGTTCATTCACCGGGAACCTGGGATTCATGCAAAGGAAGAATGTAAATTTAGGTGGGAAGTGGAGAGAAAAAAGGAAAGCTTTGAGCATGAGAGCAATAGTATAAAAAGTGGTGGGCTAGTAATATTTGTGTGTGTGTGTTGGAGGTGGGGGATGAAATTATATCTATATTGATTTTTTGTTCCTTATCTGTTATCTGTCTTATTTTAAAAGAAACAATGGTTCTGGGAAATACCAAAGCCTCCTCCTGTACAGCAGCACATATTCCAAACTAATATGTGCTCCACTGAAACTGTCTTTGCAAAGATTGTATCAGTGAGAAAATTACAGCAGTGGGGAGATCTGATCTAACCCAACCTCTATCTTGCCTGTTCCTCAATTATTCCTGGGCTTTTGGGCCTAGCTAACTTTGAGAGACATTCAGGTTATAGTTTAAATGATAAAACTCAACTTTGTAAGCTAATGAAAGACCCCCAGGCTGTGGGGAGGAGAGGAATCTGAATTCTGCTAAGGTGTAGACTGGTCAGAAGATATGCAACTTCCCAATTACCTTTGCTTATAACCTCACTATGTAGATTGGCCTTTTGAGATATCTTTTCAGGATTTTTGCATGTCTGACACGCATGGCTCATTTGCATGTCTGACACCATTGGACCCATTGACCAATGACTTTTCTGTGGCCCCACCCAGAAGCAACTCAATGCAAGAGGACAGCTTCAACTCCCTATGATTTCATGTTCTCCCCAAGCAATCAGCAGTTAAGCACCCACCCCTTCCCCCTAACTAAAAACAAAAACAAAAACAAAAACAAACCCTAACCTGTGAGCCTTTGAGGAGATTCATTTGAGTAATAACTCTGCCTCCCGTGTAATGTGGTTGGTCTTGTGTCAATTAAACTCTTCCTTTACTTCAATGCTGTGGTCTTTACTTGTGCAGCAGGCAGGAAGAAACTGTCAGGGGGTTACACCATTTCTATCACTACAGTCTCTAGTATGGTGTTGACAAAGCCCAAATAGCAGGACAAAGAGTGTCAAAATTTTCGTAATGTTTGGTTTTTGTGTGATTAAAAACCAGGTCCTGGAACAAGTTATCATAGCCCATTAAGATTCTACTTTTTAAATGCAAGGTGCCGAAAACATCGCTATTGTCTGAAAAGATTCTACAACTACCCTTGCATCAAATCCTTTTCAGAGATAAATTGCAAAATACTCAGAGCTGCAATAGAACGTGCACTGTTCAAAGTATAAGGACTTAAGTTACAGGGAAGTACTGTGCCTTGAAAGTGACTGACTTTCCCTCGCGCTCACACCAGGTGACAGAGTGTCAAACCTGGCACAGTCCAGTTGTCATCAATATTCATTAACAACCAGGAAACACACAGAAACACAGCTCTTGATTTTCTATGCAGGGGAAACTCTTTGTTTTAGAGTATGTCTCTTTATAAACAGAATATTTTTCAATACAACAAACTATCAAAATATTTTGTATTCCTTCATTTGTGTAAAGAATACTCCATAGATATAGAATTAAATTTCACAAAATTGAACTGAAATAAGTCTGGGGTTTTTTAAAAATGTGATTAGATAATTTTAGGCATATTATATTTCACATTCTCATGCTGGTTACACAGTAACATTCTGCTAGGAAATTTGCCAAATGTTTTGTGCTCATTCCAGTAAGTTAGGTAGGAGAAAACATTTTTTACCCCTAAAAGAATGCAAACACTTCATCATCCATTCACCAGTGTGAAAACAATATTTAAGAAGAAGTTCTCTTCCACCCACGCATCTACTCCTCAGGATAACAGTTTGTGTTATGTGTAAATTCCTTCTGGTGACTGCCACTTGTGTCTTGATTTTAAAAAGCAATGAGCCTACACTCAAAGGCAATCATTTCTACCAGTATGTCGACCTTTCCTCCTCTCCCTTAAATCTGACCAGTGTCAGAAGAGAAGGTATCCTTTCCTCCCTGGCTATCAGAAAGCAGAGTTGTGGTGTGTTTCTCTTCTCCTGATCAGGATGGCTTTCAACGTGTTCACTTTTGAAATTCATTTGTCATATTTGATTAAAGTTCACTGGGATGAGCCAACACTATTTTCATACTTAGAAATGCCACCAAGAGGCTTTATTTAGTTTAAAGTGCACAGAAAACTTTTGACATTCTACAGCATATATTGTCTGTGGCACCTTGTCATGTCACTCTATCATGTATTTTATTATTTTAGTGCTGTGTGCTCTGTGTAAATAATTTCTCCTAAGATTGGAGGCTCCTTCCATTTGGGGACAGCACCAGATGCTTCTTTCATGGTCTTTGGGGCCTATACCTGTACCTGAGCATTGCAAATACTTGTACATAGATAGATTAACGAATTAAGAAAAGCACTTGTAAATTCTGGACCATTTGTTAGTTACTAGGGAATCAGATAATGAGTAGAACCTTAAAAGTCAGTACTAAAGTAATGCTTTTATTTTGTTTTCGTGGATGAGATAGTGTGACAGATTTGTGTATCTTAAACAATAATTATATCAAGAAGGAAAAGCATAATCATGCAACATCAAACAATATCATGTGTGAGGACAAACAGAAGGATATTCTAGGAATTGAATCCCATATATGCTATACTCATGAAGAAAAATAAAAGTTGGCTTACTTTGTGCTCAGCCTGAGGCAAGATAATTCAACTGGGTCATGTTATAGACTGAATGTTGTGACTCCCGCAATTCATATGTTGAAGTCCTAACTCCCAGTGTGGCTGTGTTTGGAGATGGGGTCTCTAAGGAAGTAATTTAAATCCACTGAGGTCATAAGGGTGGGTCTTTGGGGTTGATATCTAAGACAAGACACCAGAGAGCTGGCTCTCTTTCTCTCTCTAGGGATGCACCAAGGAAAGGTCGTATGAGGACATGGAAAGAAGGTGGCTGTCTAGAAGCCAGGAAGAGAGTCCTCATCTGAAACCAAATTGGCCAGAACTTGGATCTTGAACTTCCAGCTTCCAGTGCTGTGAGAAATAGATTTTTGTTGTTGAAGTCAACAACTGTGTGTTTTGTTATGGCAGCCTGAACTGACCAATACAATCTGCCGTATCTGATCTCTATTAGCTGTCTTCTATTTTCTTCTCATTTTTATTAGTCTGCATCCTACCAGCCTGAAGGTGAGAGAGTGAGAGTGACTCTTAATTATCTTTGCTTTAAAGGCAACAAAAGGGTGCCATCTAAACACGGATGCACTGCAAGCCAGGGTAGTAAATAACCTGGCAGCTATCACATAGTTCTTGATTTATTCAACAAGTTTTTTTTTTTTGAGGGTCTCCCATTTGTCAGGCACCATTCCATGTGCTAGGATATGATAGCAGGCAGACTACATGAAGCTTGTATTCTAGTTTATTGTCTATTATGGTCAAAGAGAGCTTAAATGCCAACCTAAGCACAATATAAAAATAGTATTCAATGACAATTGAAGGCAGTTGAGTAAAGACTTGGAAGAGGAAAGAGAGAGAGCCAGGTAGCTATCTGTGAAATGAGAATTCCTGTCGTGAGATGGCCTGAGTGCACCTGGGGAACAGAAAAGAATAGAAAGCAGGTCAGCGTGGTGGAAGGGTGACAGCCTGAACAGATGAGCTCAGAGCCTTAATGGGTGCAGGGGAAGCTGATGATGAGGGGTCTTTCTTGTAGGGCATTCATCACACTGTAGTTTTAACTCTGTGTGGGATGTGAAGCCTGGGGGGGTTGCAGCAAAGATGTGATCCAATATGTCTAATGTCTAACATTTTAACATGATTACCTGGGCTGTGGTGTTGAGAAAGGTCTGAGGAGCTGAGAAACTTTTTAGGAGACTATTGTGATAGTCCAGTCGAGAAATGATGGTGGATTTAACTAGGTTAGAGTAATGGCGGTGGCAAGAAGTGATCACATTTTGAATGTATTTTGAAGGTAAGATTCAAACAATTTGTTGACAGGATTGGATATGGATGTGAATGAAAGGAATTAAGAATCATCCCAAAAATTGTAAACTCAGCAACCAGAGGATGGAGATGCCATCGGCTGAGGTGGGGAAGCTGTGGGAGGAAGGGTCTGGGGTTGGGGGATGGGTCACCAGGATCTTGGCTTTAGACAAATTAAGTTTGCAATATGTATTTGATATTCAAGGGGAGATGTTGAGTGAGCAGAGAGTAAGCAGTAGTTAAGATGGAATCAATGACATGATGTGTGTCTGCTGGTGGGAAAGATATCTCAGAGATGGGAAAACTGATAGTGGAGAAGGAGAGGAGAGGTTTGCTGGAGTGACATTCTCCAATAGGTGAGAGGAGATGGAATGTGGTGTCCCTCCCAAAACTCAGGCATTTATTCAAACTAACAGGAAAAAGGCGGAGTTTGTAGCACAGATGCAGGGGGTGGGTAAATGTGATGTTTAGGAGCTTGTGGAAATTCTCTACTGACTACTTCAGTTTTTCAGTGAAAAAGGAAGAAAGTTGACAGCTGAGAGAGAAAATAGGTAAGGGGGTGTGAGAGGTTTGATGAAAAAGAAGATATGAAACAATGGTTTGGGAAAGCAAGAATGCACGGACTCAGAAACGACGGCTGAACTGCCTGCCAGTTGGAAGGGTCCCCTTTAAGGTTACGGTTGTGAATTTAAACAGAGACTGGCCTGTCTCCAGCCACAATCAGCTGAGCAGGTGCAGGCATGGATTAGGCAGAGAGCTGGAGTTTTGCCAAGCAAGGAAGACAAGGTGAGAGAGGGCCCATGGAGTGAAGGGTCTAACCAAGGGAGCAATTATCATGATGAACTACGAAGGCTGAGCTGTTACAGAAGAGCGATGACACGATGGGGCTGTGGGACCTTGAAAAGGTGGCGGATCAACAGATCGAGGTTCCCTGGGCTGGCAAAGGATTGCTGGAGTCATGGTACCAGAGGAAGTGAGCTGGCGTGAGAGGAGGTGGAGGCCAGAGAGTGAAATTCTTAACTTGGAGACTGTAGCCACCGTGTCCTGAGTCCTCAAATCCAATTTACAGAAAGGCCTTTGACTAACAGGTAAAATCCATTAATTAATGAGAGTTTTAAAGTTTAAAAGTGCCCCCATGGCTGCAACTTCTGTTTGTTACTGTTTCCACAAGCAGAGGGCAGGCTAATAAAAATGTTACTGTATTCCTGGAAGTTAATGAATAATAAAACCACATGCCTGGAAGCAACTTCAAGAGGTCCTAGTTCAGATGATTTTACATTCTCCCACCAATTCTGAACATCTTGGGGAAGAAAATGCCACCACCCAGGTGAGTTGATCATTTGCTGCCGAACACTCTTGTTAGGGTTGTAGATTTTGTAAAACACTTCTATTGAATGAAAATCCTATGTCCTTTTTTATTTTCTTTAGGGAAGAGAGAGAAGAGCAGGTCAACATTATTTGTTTAGTAACCCTTAACATTAGAAGGCAATTTTAAATTCGGATTTGGTGTGTGGTTTCACCTGGAAGAGAGGTAGCGAAAGACCTCTAATGGCAAGAGGCAAAAAAATTGGTTAATGTGCATTGAGATGGAAATGTCCCACTCTTCATGTTAAAAAAAAGATAGACCTTTATGTGTAATTACAACGATAGCATGACATCTTAGCCAGAAAAACTGTGAGCCCCACATCTGAAAAAAAGATACAATTTATGTTTCCAAAACTGTAATGTCAATATATATATATTTTTAAAGTCCATACTGTTTCTGAGTTTGGAGCTGTCTCCTTGCTAATTCTTTGCATTGGCTTGAATTGTACTTGGAATTCTCTGATTGCCTGTTTGTGCCTGGGAACACAATTCTCCTTTCTGGTTTTGCAGAGATGTGGAGTAGGAGGGCTTGTTAGGGAACTTGTTACATTTTGAACCAGCTGACTCAGGTGCTCTTGAGGGGAAGTTTGTTCTGAGGAGAAACTCTATTATTATAAGGCCTTATTAGGGTTTTTAAGCCTTGGGCTTTTTGGCAGGTCAATGTGCTAAATCATTAAAAAATATGGAAAGTCAGGTAGAAAGTCTTTTCTCTTTATTTTTTAAAGCGTGGAAACACGCACACCAGACAGACTAACCAGAAATCAAAGTGGAGGGAAAAACAACTGCTTCTTAGTTGTTGCTATTGCCGTTACTGTTACTGCAAACTGTTGATGGTATGTTTCTGGTTCTGATTAAAGGTAAGTAGATTTTAAAAGGAAATTCCTTTTAATAAAGGGGCCTAAATAGTCCCAAATTCAAGAGAGAAGTGAGAACAAAGATTGATTATTCTCAAACTTACCTGATTTACTGCCGCAATAGGTACCTACAGAAACATTTTCACAAAATCCTACCTGAAAAGTATGAGAAGGGAGCCGTTAGGAAGAAGTATATGATTTCAAGGTGTTATGCTTCATGTGGTGAGAAGAGGATGGGACATGATTAGATGTGTAAAAGAGGAAGATAAGAAGAGCTATAACAGACTAAGTTGAAAACTCATTTGAACTAGCTAAAGGGAAAATGAAATGGGAAGAAATAACTGCAACTTCCCATTCCCTGCCTCCCTACCCTGCAAACCCCTGGTAACCATCATTCTACTCTTTGCTCCTATGAGTTGAACTTTGTTAGATTTCACAATTAAGTGAAATCATGCAGTATTGGTCTTTTTGTGCCTGGTTTATTTTGCTTAGCATAATGTCCTCCAGATTAATTCACATTGTCACAATTGACAAGATCTTCCCCCTTTTAAAGGCTGAATAATATTCTATGGTGGACATATACCACATTTTCTTTATCCGTTTATCTGTGGGATGGGGAGTAAGCTGTTGATCAAAGGGTACAAAGTTTCAGATAGACAAGAGGAATAGATTTTGAGATTTTATTGCACACCAGGGTGACTATTGTCAATAATAATGCATTATATAATTCAAAATAACAGAGTAAATTTCAAATGTCTTATTATAATTATAAAAAGTGACAGGAAAGCAAGGTGATAGAGATGTTAATCAGCTTGCTTTAAATATACTACATTGTATACACACTCAAAATATCACATTGTATCCCATAAATGTATACAATGATGAATTTTCCATTTTAAAAAGTGAAAAAAAGAAGAAATAATTGTGGTTGAATCTGAGGGACAAGAAATAGGGACTGGAATGACATTGGGACCAGATAGTGACTCTCTTTTCCTCCCCTCCCCTCTCCAGCACCACATGGTCTTTTGCCTCGGTTTCTGTCTTCACTTTTACTTTCTCCCACCCACCTCACTTTCCTGTCATTGGGTGTTTGCTACTCAGTATGTGTTCAACATGGCTGCACCACTGCCCCTGAGTGCACATGTGCTGAGATGAGGGAATAGAGTAGCTAACTGACTTGCCTCTCTCATAATTCCAAATCACTGAGACAGAAATTCTGAGAGGCACCATTGTGATCTCAAGATGAGGTGGTGTCATCTGGTACAAACCACAAGGCCAAATTTCTCCCTGTAGGTGGGGGTGGATAACGGAAGTTTTCTGAGAGGCCTGTGGGATGGGGTAACATCCCAGGTGTGATGACTTTATACTAAGTTGACTTAAATGGGGACTTTGGAAGACGTATAGTTTGCATCGTCCAGTTTTTTCGCACAACTGTGTTTCTGTTGACATGTTGAGCAATCTCTCTCCTGAGACTTGAGAGCATTTGGGGAATAGCATATATCACAGTTAATTGCTGGTTCAGGCTGGCTCTTGCCAGTGGATCACTATTCTGTCATACTCAAAAGACTGGGTGACGTGGTGTGAATTCACAGAGCTCACTGCTGGTAAACGGGGACCTGCTTGCCTTTTTCATCCCTCTTTTTCTTTAGTACAATGAATTAAAATTATTAAGTGGAGTTTATTTTTTTATCTTTGAACATATTAAAACTAATTTAGTAAATGTGTATTTAAATATATTAATTTTATTACATTTTAAAAATATTTGGGAACATTGCAGCACAAAGATTTTCAATAAATATGACCATAGGCCCATTTAGTAGCATATTTCTATGCTAGAAGTGTGATAAGCTAAAAGAAAATTTGTATTTTTGGAAAAGATTTCTTGGGAAAGATTTCTGAATTTCATAAGTAACCTGGAAACTCTTTAGTGAACGAGTGGCTGTGTATTTCTGCGTCTATTTGGATTAGTATAGTAACAAACGTGTGAAACCACATCGTCTGCTGTGAGTCAAATATTGCTCTCTGGGGGCTGCAATATTTCACACATCCTCCTTTTTGAGGGTAAAAAGGGGAGGGGAGCGTTTCTCTCTTTTCTTAATAGAATATATGTTTTCATTTAATAGATTTTGGAAATAAAATTTAGGTCGTGTTTTTCTTCTCCAAGTTTAGCATGCCTTTTGGCTCACATATTTATCTTGCTAGGAAGCTTTTCAAAACTACTCCTTATTTTGAGATACCATCCTCAACTAAGAAGTAAACTGTGAAATTCTCTGTGGTTCTTTGATTTAAAACACTTGGAAGGCATTCCGTTTGTGTTTGCTTGTGTTGATATGTCTATATTTTAAACATGAAATGCTAGGTTCCATTTTCATTTAAATAGCATTTAAAAAAATTTTTTTTTGAGACAGAATCTCTTTCACCCAGGCTGGAGTGCAGTGGTGCAATCTCGGCTCTCTGCAACTTCCATCTCCCAGGTTCAAGCGATTCTTCTGCCTCAGCCTCCCTAGTAGCTGGGATTACAGGCACGTGCCACCATGCCTGGCTCATTTTTGTATTTTTAGTAGGGACGGGATTTTACCATGTTGGTCAGACTGATCTCTAGCTCCTGACCTCAAGTAATCTGCCTGCCTCGGCCTCCCAAAGTGCTGGGATTACAGGCATGAGTCACGGCACCTGGCCTAAATAACTAATTTTCTTGTGGGTGAGTTGTCAGGAGCATCTCAGTGAAGAACAGACAGGAAAGATGGCACATATTTATTTCTTCATTTTATTAATAAAGTGTTATGAAACATTAACCAAGATTAACCTATACTGGCATTATTAATATAATCCTCCTATCAGCCCATTAGCAATAATGGGTAATATCTTATAGAGATAAATGACTATAAATATGAAAGTGGATTTGAGATGATATCAGAGTCTAGGTTATAGTAAGGATTTTCATCCCTGCTCTGTTAACACCTTGATGTACAGACTTGAACAGGATACCTAATATTATGGCGAGGTTCTTCTCATTCTATCTGATGAGAGAGAGAGTATCTAGTGGCTGATCTTTTCAGGGATGGAAATCTGCAAACTGAGTCATTCACGACACACTCTAACTGTTGGTGTTAAAGACATATTGACAGAGTAGAGATGTCAGGGACGCAGGTAGGCTGGCCAGCTAGACACATTTTCACAGTGAAGCAGTAGTTTGATGGAGTTTCCATACCCTGGGACATGGGCCTCTGATTTGAAGGCAAAACATCTTGATTTCTTTTGCCATGTCTTCTGGACTTTATCAGGCTCTTCAGGTCTGGCTTGTGTTAACTAAATTAACAACAATAACAGCAAACACCTGATTTTATTAAAATAAACAAGTTCTTAATTTCCAGAGAATATGCCCTTTCAACATTCAGATATTTGTTTCTGCCATTTAGGGATCCCAGTTTCTAGAACTAAGTTACCAGCAAGAACATATTTTTAAATAGAATACTGCTTGGAGATTGTGGAATCGGAGCAAAGATAATTGGATTTGTTTAAATGATATTTCAATGATGCTGTGGTGAATTTCCCCTGCTTCTCAATTGGGCATACTTTTTCTGTGACTCATCCTCTAGATTAAGCATCTTTTTTTTTTTTTTTTTTTTTTTTCCCCCCCTGATTTGGAGCCAGGTAAATGCTGTCAAAATCTTGGACTTTTTGTTTCCATGAATTCTACATCCCATGCAGATTGTAGCCCTTCTGCCAACACATTATTTCATTAGGCCATAGCTGTCTTTAACACTCAATCGTATTTTCCTGTAGCTAAGTAATGTTGATTGAACTTCGGGGTTCCAAATCTTTCTCAGCCACATACTTTTAGGCCATATTTTAAGGTGGGCTTCTTCCACAGATGGCCAATTTCATGATAGTAATAACTTCTGGCCAGGCACACTGGCTCACGTCTGTCATCCCAGCACTTTGGGAGGCTGAGGCTGAGGCTGAAGAATTGCTTGGGGCCAGAAGTTTGAGACCAGCCTGGGCAACACAGTGAGATCTTGACTCTAACAAAAATATAAATAAATAAATAAATAAATAAATAAATAAATAAATAAATAAGCAGGGCATGGGGGCATACATCTGTAGT